TTCTTATACACTTCAGTTAAATAATCCTCACACATCGAAATCCCAATGGAAACAAGCCCAGATTGTGCAAACCATCTTCATGAGATAACCCACTCAATCTAGTAAACCTACTTTGAACTGGATTTACATCTATCCTGAAATAATGAAACCAAAAGTGTACACAGTACTCGATGTGGATTCACCAAAACCCTGTATAACTGAAGCATAACATAATTACTTTTATATTCAATTCTGTAAAGGACAACATTCCATTTGTTTCATGCATCTCAGGTACAGGCTGAGATAGGTTATCTACATGGCACTTTGGGTTGAACATGGTACGATCAAAATTTAGACTCCATAATCATTGAGAATAAGATCATTTATGGTGACTTTTTTACAGTTGATTGTTTAGCTTTTCGCCACCATTCATGCTTGAATATGGCAGAATTGCAGAGCTTTGATCTAATTTGTTGATTGTGCGATTGCTTAGTTCTGGCTATTTGTACTCCTGGTGCTGCTCCTGGCATCCTCTCCTAATTCAAACGTGCTGATGGCATTTCTATCGTGAGAGATATGCCATGCCATGATGCGACAGATTGGGATACAATCCTGCTGCTGCTCATAACTCAGGCACTTCCTGGATGCCAACTATTGAGCTGCAAGAGCCATTCTGATTTATACTAATTAGGGTAGTTTTACACATCATAGTGAATAACATCCTCAATCTGAAGATGGGCCTTTGTCTTGTCCAGCATTGTTCCGTGGCCACTCCTACCCAATATCATCATGGACAAATACGTCTTCAGCAAATAGATCAGTGAGTGAGATCCAATCAATATTCCCTCTTGCTAGTTCTCTCACCAATTGCCACCGGCCCAGTCTGACAGACACAGCAAACAAATAGTGGTATTGCCAAGATACATTTATAATAGGCAATGAATTCCTCACAGAGTACATTCTATACAAGCTTCAAGCCATGCAACTCTCAGTACTCTTTCCTACTATCGTTCAACATGGAGCAGGAATGACTGAGCAGCTGAGGGAGCTAAGTTGTAATCACGTTTCCTTGTTCATGTTTGACTTGATTCTGAGAGACTTTATTGGGTCTGATATTAAAATGAAGGACTCTCGGGTATGAGAAAGATTTGCAATTAATATTCTAGTTTGGGAACTTGGATTGTTCAGTTAGATAGCTCAATGAAGTACCTGGGAAGTTAATTGCTGAACATTTACAAAGTAAAACTTTTATGAATACAAAATGACGGATGGTCAGAGGCCAGAATCAGGTTTCAGCTCAGGAGTACAGTTTCATATCAGCAGAAGAGGGGTTAGTTGGTGAAGTCTTCAGACTGGAAAAGAGTCAAGTGTTAAGTATCAAAGATTTGAGAAGCAGCAGCTCTGACAGATACCCGTGATAGCTTACACATACAATTACATGTGGGAAATGATCACATGGAAACCAGTAAGGAAATTGGAGGAAAAGAAAATGAAGCGATGGAAAAGGTTTTGGGGAACCATCAGAAGGATACCAAACTAATAAGAAAGAAAATCTAGAGCCTAAAAGTGATATGAAGAAGATAATGTGCTTCATTGTAATAAGACTGGGCATGCAAAATCCAATGTCTGGAAGTTATATGTGTGACTGACTAGAACAGTTGAAATGTCTAAGAATCATCAGAAAAGGAATGCATCAGCAAAGGAACCGGTTGTTAGTCTGTAGCAATAATACAAAGTGGAGCATATCTACTAGGAAGGGAGAGGTGACTCAGAATACTCAAAAAAAATCATCCTTGATTCTTGATAAAGAGTATCAGACAACTAGAGGTACTGAATATTTTATTTCAAAGGGAGGGGTATTTTCTTATTCTTCAAATCAAGGAGATGAACCAATAAAAATAACATGCAGAATCTTACAGGGGTCTGAATGACTCAGGCTGTGGAGGCATGTATTGCAGAAGTGGACAAGTCCAGCGCAACCCATATCCATTTCAGGAACATCTCACTTCACCTTCTAAACTTATCACAAATAGCACAGCACATTTCTTGCTGGGCAATGATAGCACCTTGGTGTGCATGCTCACCAGTCCCAGGACAGGCAGGTGATGTGGTTAAGAAGACAAATGGGATACTCGTCTTCATTAACCGAGGCACAGAATTTAAGAGCAGAGATCAGATGCTGGAACTGCATGAAACATTTGTTTGGCTGCACTATTACAGTTCTGGAATCCACATTTGATTTGATTTATCTATGGTCCCATATATCTAAGTGCAATGAAAAGCTTTGTTTACAAGCAGTACAGGCAGATCATAGTAAGCAAGGACATTCAGGTCATGGGGTGAAAAAAATCTTCGAGGCATACAGGTTACATTGTACAGGGTGTGCGCTAGGCAAGATCAATGTTAGCAACAGCAGCATTATTTAAGGTTATAATCATCAATCTAATAACAGACTGTAAGAAACTGTTCCTGAACCAAGCTTCCGAATCTTCTGCCTGATGTAAGAGATTTTAGGAGGGCATTACCAGGGTGGGGAGGGGGGTCTTTGATGATGTTAGCAGCCTTTCCGCAGCAACAAGCCATGTAAATTGTGCCCATGGATAGAAGGTGGGCTTCCATGATGGTCTGGGCTGTGCACACAACCTTCTTCAGTTTATTACAGTTCTGGGCGGAGCAGTTGCCATACCAGGCCATTACCAGGGCAGTATGTTTTCAATGGTGCATATGTAGAAGTTGGTGAGGTCCTTATGGGTATGCCAAATTTCCTGAGCCACCTGATGAAGAAGAGGCGTTGTCGTGCATTTTTGACTGTTGCATCTACGCGTGAAGTCCAGGAAAGGTTGTCAGTTATTGTTACTCCTAGGAACTTGAGGAGCTTATAGTAAGAACGTAATTGCAATGGAGAGGATGAAGATGAGTTTTATTGGGACGTTGCCTGGACTGAGAGTTTTAGCTATGAAAAGAGATTGGATAGACTGGAGCAGAGGAGACTGAGGGGGTACGTGTTTGAGATATGTCAAACTATGAAGACTTAGATAGGGTAGACAGGAAGGAACTTTTTTCCTTTGGTGGAGAATCAAGACCAGGTGGCATAGACTTAAGATGACAGTATTTAATTGTACACTTGCAAGACAAGGATATGGACCGTGTTGGAAATGGGTTCAGAATAGTTAGGTGGTTGTTTTTGAACAGTGCAGACTCAATGGGGCAAAGGTCTTTTTTCTGTTCAGTATATCTCTATGACTATGAGGCAGTGACCAATTGCCAATTAAGGGGAATTATTGCTTGTTAAACATCTTGTTAACAGCCCAACTCATTAATATTCAGCTTTCTACCTCAACAAGCTAGATGTCATGAAAACTCACCATAGAAAACTAGAGTAGGTACCTCGTGAATTCAGTTCCCTGCTTACTCCAAATGACCTCGAGGTTGGGTATCAGACACCAACATCTCAGGGCATACTCCATGGGCACCGGACTCACGCAACCCACATCCACAGTCATTTTATCTGGAACGTGCCAGTCTCCAAGAATGCTCTAGCACATCTCCGTTTCACTAAAAGGACATTTACGCATTGCACCTTGGGCTGCACTGGCAACCAACATTGTAACACTGTAGATAGGACACTGTGCATTCAGTGACATGTATTCAGCTGATGGACTGGAACAAGTTGCATCACCATGCTATTTGCTTAGTGTCAAAATACTCACTCATTTGGACACTACATGGATGCTCACAGCATGCCTACCTTGCACTGCCTTTTTGCGCTTTGCCTCTTCAGCCAGATACCAGGCTCATATTAACTCAGTCTTGTCTTGCAGTTTAGAGCAAACAGAAATTTGTCCTGGTTGTCAGCAGGCCTCAGTCAAGTCAAAGTGGGAACAGCCTTCATTCAGGGGTCCAGTGCATTAAATCAAGGACAGCCTCTGATACCAGTCCAGGGGCTTGGAAACAGTCAGTCAGCTGTTCTGAGTGGTCACAGTCTGGAATCTCTCCACGTAAGTAGTGAGGTGCTGAATGTCAGAAGCCCACCACCTCCCTGGATTCCTTCTGCAATATTATGGGCTGTTTCCTCCTAAAATGAGGCAGGCAACTATCATGGCAGATGAAAGTGTGTGGGACTTTCAGACTAGTATGAATAGTGCCCTCTCCTGTCTGAGGCCCATGTGGGTGGCCTTGGACAGGAATTGCTCAGCATGCAGCAGTACATTTAAGGGCTGCCCTGACTATTGCAGACCTCAAAATCTTCAGTTGACAATTCAGAACATAAATTAGATCATTCCTTAATGTCACTTGTATTTTACAATCAGCCTGAATAAGACGTGTGAGAATACTGTCTTTGTGGTACTTTTTAAACAAGAGCTGCTAACAACAGTGATTCTGAATAGGTGGCACTGGGTCATTTTAAAATGGTCCTAGTTAAGGTAATATTTATCATTTAACTAGTTCCATCAATTTATAAACTTATCATTAACCTAATTTGCTTTATGAAGATTAGCTGATTTAACTTCAAAAATAATTCATTCATTGTGTTATGCATTAGAACAGCCTAAGGATGCATTAGATAAATGCATGTGCTTTCTTTCATTGTAACTTTAATTTGTTAATAATCAAAGCTTCACTGACCTTTGATCCATTAGAAGTGCACACAGTGTAGTTAATGTTGACTTCCTACATACATTGAGACCGTGTAAGATATGTATTTCTGTAAAATTACGAAACGAAAATAGGCTCCAATAACAGGTTGAAAACAGGTTTGATTTTTTGGAAAAAGGCTCGTCAATCTTCACCAAAATTTGATTATAAATAGCAAAGAAAAATGTATTAAACAGGAATAAATTCTCCAGGAAATAATATGCAGCAATGAAAATACAAAGACTACATTGTGAATGTATTGAATGGGGCACAGCACGTTTGTATTATATTGTATATAATGTTGTATACATTTTACAATATATTTATATATTGTATATAATGTTATGCAAATTTATGAAATGTTAAGAGGACTATCATTACACTATCTTTGTTCACCAACCAACACTTTATTTGATTTATTATTGTCACATGTACCTAGGTACAGTGAAAGGTTTTGTTTTTCATGCAGTACAGGCAGATCATATCTTACAGAGATCAAAGTGATTGAACAGAGCGAGGAATACAAAGTTATGGCTGCAGAGAAGGTGCACAAACAGGAAGATCTATATTAGATTTGAAATTTGAGAGTCTAACAGCTAGGAAGAAGCTGTTCTTGAACCTGTTGATATGTGTGTTTAGGTCGTTGTATCTTCTGCCTGACGGAAGAGGTGGGAAGAGATTATAACCAGGATGGGAGGGATTTTTGACTATGTTAGTTGCCTTTCTACGGCAACGAGAAGTGTAGACGGAGTCAATGGATGGAACGCTGGCTTGCGTGATGGACTGGGCTGTACACAACTTTCTGTAGTTTCTTAGGGGAGAGCGGTTGTCATACCAAGTCGTGATGCATCCAGACAGTATGCTTTCTATGGTGCATCTGTTAAAGTTGGTGAGGGTCCTTATGGACATGCTGAATTTCTTCAGCTTCCTGAGGAAGAAGAGGGGTTGTTTTGCCTTCTTGACCATCACATCAACGTTGGTGGTCCAGGACAGATAGTTCGTGATCATCACTCCTAGGAACTTGACGCTCTCAACCATCTCCACCTTAGCTCCATCAATGTAGATAGCGGCGTGTACTCGTCCTTGATTCTGAAGTTGATGGTCAGCTCTTTAGTTTTGCTGACACTGAGGGAGAGATTGTTATCTTTGCACCATGTCATCAAGCATTTTATCTCTCCTGTATTCTGTCTCATCATTGTTTGATATCCAGCCTACAACAGTGGTGTCATCAGTGAACTTGTAGATGGAGTCTATCATGTAAAGAGTGTGCATTTTTTTAAAAAATAGTATAGGCACAATCAACATAGAGGTACTGAAGTTTAATATCAAAATCTTCAGTGTTGATTTCTTAGTGTGTAAGCTAAAATATATTAATTGTAATTTGTTTCTCTTAATAAATAAAATGAGATTTTCAATCACAATACGCACAAACCAAGCTAATGTGAATGACGCCCATCTATAAAAACCTTTTAAATCCTTGATGTATTGTTCTATGTAAACTGCCTTTTTTTCGTTCTTCGTTGACCTGGTCTTGCACATGACAGCAAAGATGGTAAGTGGTGCCTGCACCCACTTGGCAAATATTGGCCTGCACATCTGCCAGAAGGTGCCAGGAATTGCCCAGTTTCACAATTCTGCAGATCTTCCAATCTCTTCTGCTCTGCCATGTCACAAGCTCCACTGGTAAAAACTGCAGCTGAGTGGGATGCAAACTAGAATCCTATTCCATGCATTGAGCATCAATATTTTGAAATGTTGCCCATTGTAATATCTTGGGTAAGACAGCAGCACTTAACCTAGTATATCTGAATTTTAAAATATAGACTGACAACAGATTCTTGCTATATTAAAAGATCAAAATTGTTCATAAGCTTTGTAGACATGACTACATATACAACTAAATACACCCTTCATCAATTATCAGATTCAGTGTAATTAAAAATTCCAAAAGTAGATTCAATAATGCATTTAAATAGCTTCAGGAAGGGTAGTTTGCAGATGCAAACAAATCTCAAAGGCATTAGAAATGTCTTGGAACAAAAACAGAAGCTGCTGGAAAGGATCAGCAGGTCTGGCTGAATCTGTGAAGAAAATATCAGAGTTAATGTTTCAGGTCCGGTGACCCTTCTTCAGAACAGGTCACTGGACCGAAACGTTAACTCTGATTTTGTCTTCTTTTTGCCAGACCTTCTGACCTTTCCCAGAAACTTCTGTTTTTGTTCCTCATTTACAGCACCCGCAGTTCTTTTGGTTTTTATTTAGAAATGTCTTGGGTTGGGTTTACTTTTTTTTGTCAAATTTAGTGTTTAGGAATAAGGATTCTGCTATGGACAATGGAACAGTTTTCACTTTTCTATTAGCTCTAAGAATCAAGAATTCCCAAGTCAGGTGTTCTTGGAGTATGGAGTAGAGTTCCCATTACACTACCCATCAAGCAAGGTAAAGTTCTGAATAATGCACACCAAGACATTACACACATAATAACAAGAATCAAAACTTTATAATATTTAATAAAACTGGAGGCAGCTGAGCTTTTGTTTTAACAAATTCAGAATCTACAACAATATAAAAACCACCATTTTTAAATGTTGCTCCACTGTTCTGGGACAGAAAAACAAAATACATCCTTGAGGCTCAGAAACTAAGCAACTAAGATTCATATCAGAATCATTGCTTAAATGAATTATTTCCCTCAAATGGTACGTGTAGATGAATAGTAAACACTGCTAGATTTGTAATTGCAATGTCCCCGGAGGTTTTCTTGTAAGGCCATAATCTGGGTTCTTACATCAGAGGGAGAAGAAAGCACCACAGAAAATGATTGTGCAAAACAGCAGTCGGAAATGTCTCTTCTGCTCGCTGTCCAAACAGTTTAACTCGAGGTGAATAAACCATCCCAAGCAAGGCTTCTTTCTGCTACTTGGTTAATGTTGATATGGTTTTGTGATGGAACGTCAGCAGAAATCAATCAAAATCTGGGTTTGATCTGAATTGGTTTCCCTACAAGACAAAAGAAAAGGTTTTGATGGCAACAGTATCACAGGATCTATTGTGGAGAGTGAAGCTACTTAGCCTAACACAGCCAGCTCCAGCTAATTCAATTCCTTGTGCATTTCCTGAATCAGTTTATACCTTTTCTTTAGGAAAAAAGATCTAATTCATCATTTCAAATAAACTATATCAAGTGCCACCTCTTTAGAGCACTCCATTCCTAATAATCTTGAATGTCTGTACAATGATTATTTAAACACCAGTGGAAACTAGGTTTCTCTCAAGCCTCACAAAGTTTGATTACCTCTTTAACTTTCTTTCAGACAGTCAAAAAAACTTACCAGATCTGTGTGAATGTAAAACCGAATTTATTCCAGTAGAAATTTACACTAACAATCTCTCCTAAAGTCAAACAAACCTCAAATTTAATATTTAATTTTTAAAAAAAAAAACTTTCTTGGAAGGTGGGCATTGGTGTCAAGGCCAGCATTTATTGTGCATCCCCAAGTGGGGTGCGCGGTGTGCATGGTGAAGTGTGGGGCTGAGGGTTAGTAGTCAACCTCTTGAACCATCGCAGTCCATGCGCTGCAGTTACATCTGTAAAGCTGTTAGGAATTTCAGTGACAAAGAAAGAATGGTGATATAGTTCCAAGGCTATGGTCAGTGACCTTACTCATCTTGACAGCTAGACACGTTGAGATTTATGTTATATTTCCCTCATGTGTTACCCACTAATGAAGAGTAAAAGACAGACTTACATTTACATGGTGTCTATCATGAAAGCAGAACATCCCAAAGTACTTCCAATTAAGCACTTTTGGAATACACTCACCACTGGTGTCATTTAATAATTATACAGCAAGCTTCCACAAATAGTAATTTAAAAAATCTGTTTTCATTATATTAGTTGAGGAAAAAACATTGGCCAGGGCAGTAGGAGAACTCTCATATCCACTACAAATGATGTCACAGGTTCCTTTGCATCCACCACAGAGCAGCGGCTGGGTCCTTGGTTTAAATTCTCATCTCAAAAACAGATGTAACGGGCCAACATTTCTTTGATACAGCAACAAGATGTCAGGCTATATTGTGGAAGACTTCAGAAATGGGACTTGAACCCGCAGCTTCTGAATCACAGGCAAAAGTCCTATCCAGTTTGACATTGGGATGAGAATGGGCTGCTACCTGTTGAACTGTACCCCAGTATTTGTTTCCAGAGAAGGGGAAAATTTAGAAACTGAAATAAAATCTGCATGTAAAAAACAACATACTCCACAGTAGTTGGAAGAGAATCAGCACCAACAGCAACTACCATTATTACCAACATCACCTACATCATAACCAACAGTTCATTTGACACAAGATAAGAATTTCCAAGCATGGACTCTGAGTGCTATCAGCTAGCTCAGCATAGCAGTGAAGTGCTGTAATTCTGTGTTTGTGATCCCCTGTGTTTCTACCAAGTAATATTAGAAATCTCTTACACAGATGTAGGAACTAAATGCAGCTACTAACAGTACTGTGAGTTGCCGTAGTTTATTTTGTGAAGACAGGAAAAAAGGCAGCTATACTGACATCACAGAGACTGGAAGTAAAGTCCAAATGCCTCCTCAGAGGCGAAGGGTGCTACTTTGGTAATGACCAGTATGGCAGTGGGGAATTATGGAATATACATTACAATGTGTTTCTTTGGCTGTGGGCCAACAGGGAGTTCATGGAAAAGATATTGAAGAATGAAATGGAAATTGTCTGAAAGGTTATTTCTTTAACTAAGTACAAGTTTTATAGAGAAAAGCCATGCAGGTGTAGTTGCAGCTGAATAGGAGACATAAGAGTGAGGAGTTACTTCTCCTTAATTTTATATAGGAACATTGCATCACTAGATAAAGTACTCATTATATCCTCAAACTACAAAGTTTACCACTCAGCATATTAAATTAATTCAATACAAAAAGTGTATTAAATTTTAATACATGTTAGAAGGCTCTATTTCTGATTTAGAGTGTGTCATAAGCAAACATATTACTTATGAATTGGATCCAGGGAATCTATACCAAAATGTAGATAGTTTGGCCTGAATATTTTATTGACAAAGTCCATGTTATGTCGAGTTTTTTTGGAGGGATTTCCACTGCAAGGCCTACTGAGCTTTCACACCATACCCTGCCAAACTGGAGAAACTCAGCAAGTCTGTGGAGAGAAAAATTTACCAAACTTGCTTCATTAACTATCTACTCAGCCCCATATCATCCTCACACCTGATTCCAGTTCCATCTTACCCTCCACCTCCCACCAAGACTGATCCAAGCAGTGGAACTGCAATTCCAACAGCCCGATAAAATGCTCCACATGGCTCTGGTTATGTCAAGGGTTGTGCAATAGTGACATGAGCCATATCCCCACTGGGTAGTCCTTGTCCACTAGTAACCAGCCATATAAGGCCTTGGAACCTCAAAACATATCAGGTACATGAAAGCGCTCCAGGCTATAGGAGTCGTGCCAACTGCCAGGGTTGTGGGCACACATCTCTAGGAAGTGGTAAAACTGATCACAGATTTAATGTAACATTAATGAACGTTAGCTCCTGTTGATGAATTCCTCAGCATTGTGTCACAGCCCTCTCAGTGTCACATGTGTGTAGTCAATTGCACCCTGTACTCGGGAGAAGCCAGATATGTTCCCAAATCCTACTGCCCAGCTGCTGCACTGACCTCATCATGGAGAAACAAACAAACTGGTATGATATTGTGTAGATGGTATCAGTCACAGTCCTGATGCATTTGTGGGTGCATGACTAAAAAATCCACACAGGTTACCCCTCGCTCAGTGGAATAAGCCAGCTGCATAGAAGTTCAGAGTGGCTGTCACAATCATAGCCACCAGGAGAGGACGGGCCCCCAGTCGTGCTGCTCTCAGTTCCCTGTATCATCGAGTCATAGAGTCATGCAGCACGGAAACAGACCCTTTGTTTGAACTTGTTTGTGCCAACTAGACATCCTAATCTGACCTAGTCACATTTGCCAGCATTTGCCCCATATCCCTCTAAACCCTTCCTACTCATATACCCATCCAGATGCCTTTTAAATATTGTGATTGTACCCACATCCATCACTTCCTCTACCAGCTCGTTCTATACACGCACCACTCTCTGCATGAAAAAGTTACCCCTTAGGACCTTTTTAAAATCTTTCCCCTCTCACCTTCAATTTGTGTCCTGATAGTTTTGTCAGCGCTCCAGGGCATAAGGAGCCTGGATCAGCACTAAGCCAGAAAACTCTGGCCCACTCCACACATACTGAGGCAGAGTCCTCTTCTCTGAACTGAATGCTCCTTATCCTCAGTGCGAACTCACTGCTATTCCTGGCCTTGCCATTGACTCTGGTGATCCTCATCTGCCTTCTTTTTCTTAGGAAGGCATCCAGAGCTAAGGAGTCCCACTGGGATGTTGCAAGCTGTGCATACAAGAGCAGGGACTGCAGGGAGGATGAGCAAATTAACTATGGCATCTTGATACAGGGAGCCATTTAAGTCAGAAGAGGAAATAAGAATGTAGGAATGGTAGGAGCAGTAAAATTAAGAGGATAGATACTACTCTCTGCAGCTGTGAACTGGGGTCCCAAAGGGTGTTGCCTGTCCAGTGCCACAGTTAAGGATATCTCATTAGGTCTGCAGAAGAACTTGGAGAGGAAAGGGAGGGATCCAGTAGCTGTCTTTCAGATTCGTATCAACAACACTGCTAGAACTAGAAAGGAGGCTTTACTGAGCAAAGTTGAACAGTTAGGAACTAAATTATAAAGTAGAACGTCCAAGGTAATAATCTTAGGATTAATACTTGAGCCAGGCAGAGTGGCATAGAGTAAATAAAGGCAAGGAGGTAAATGTGTCACAACGATTGGTAATGGGTTTCAGTTCATGGGGCAATGATACCAATACCGAGGGTAGAAGGGAGCTGTTCTGTTAGGATGGGCTTCACTTGAACTGTGGTGAGACCAGTGTCCTGGTGAATAGAATAACTAGGGTTGTAGAGAGGTGGTTGGTGGGTGGGGGACAGGGCAAAGCGAAATGTAGACTTACAAAGCAGGATGATATGGCAGCATTAAAAGGTCAGCAATTTGGATAACAATACCTAGAGTGAGACAGAAAAGGGCAGAATATACAAACGTGGAAAAACAGCAGTAAATGGGTTCAAAAAAAGGAAAAAGTAGTAAAAAGACACAATGAATGGCTCTTTACTTTAACACTTAGAGCATTCGAAACAAAGTAAATGAATTAACGGCACAAATACAAGTTAATGGTATGGTCGTATAGCCATTACAGGGACATGATTACATGGAGATCAAAACTGGGATCTAAACATTCAGAAGTATCTGACTTCTTGAAAGGTCAGGCAGGAAGGGAAGTGCTGTAGGCGAGCACAGTTGGTGTAATTATGATATCAAGAAATGATCCTGAAACAGAAGATGGTGAATCGACATTGGTGCAGTTAAGGAATAAAAAGGCTGAGACGACATTGGTTGGTGTAATCTATGGCTCCCTAACAGTTACATGGTGAGATAGAGAATAAATCAGGAGATATTCAGGGCACACAACAAAGCAAATAGATTAATCACAGGCGACTTTAATTTTGACGTAGATTGGAACAGTCAGATTGGCAGAAGAAGCTGTGAGGAAGAGTTCAGAGTATATTTGGGATAGTTTCCTTAAATGATATGTTGTGGATCCAATCAGGGTTCAGGCTATTTTATACATGGTGATATGCAATGAAGAAGGTTTAATAAATGACGTCAAAGTAGAAGATCCCCTAGGAAACAGTGACCACAACCTGGTTGAATTTTGCATTCATGTTGAGAATGAGTAATTGGGGTTGGAAACAACTGTGCTAAGCTTAAGCAAGGGTAATCACAAAGGAATGAGGGCAGAGCTGGCTGGAGTAGAGCGAATAATGTGTTTAGCAGCAAAGATGGTTGAAGAACAATAGTAGACGTTTAAGAACATAATTCATGGCTCAC